ATTCTAATTTTAATGTGAGCAGGAAGTGGTCAGACTGACACCACAGGTTTAACTTCCTCTGTGGTTTCTATCAACACCTTCTGTTCTCACCCTGCTGAACACGAAGCACAGACCTCTGAATCTACGCCTGCAGAACTGAACTGGCCCAGTTCTGGGTAGAACCTGCTGATGGTTCTGCTGATGGTTCTGGTCCATTCAGAGGCTCAGAAGGAGGTGAATGTTTCTGGATTCTTGGGTCTGGATGGGACTCTAACCTGCAGTCTCTTCTGGTTCATAGAAGAACCAAATGCAGAGATGGAAGCTGAGCTGGTTTCTGGCAACAGAAGCATACATCTAGAAATAAGTAATCAAGAAAAACAGGAACCAGGAGAAAGTGGAAAACAGAGATTAAAGATGGAATGAAGAGAATCCATCAACCAGTAACTGCAGAGGAGGAGAATTAATGCCAAACAGAACAAAGAATGCAGTAATCAGCTGATTGGGAGCAGGTGTGGACAGAAGGATCTAGAAGGAGGCAGGGGAAAGGAGACTGGCACAAGGGGGCAGCAGAGAGTAAACAAGAAACACATTAGAACGCAAATAAAACCAGAAAACAACTAGAATGGCATTAAATGGAAAAGAAACCAAAGACCTAGAAAACACAGAATGAGTTTAATCAAAGTTTGACTGAAAACTCAAAAGAGAACTGAAACAGAACCAAAAAGCCCAGAAAGGTCAGAATGATAAAATGCAGAAGGCAAAGCGCCATATTTCTCCTGAGGAACAGAAACTCACCAGGCTGCGTTCAATGACTCTGATGCTTAACTTGCTCATTAACGCAGTCAGCAATCCTTTGCCGCCATGTTTGGCGTCTCTTTCCTGCTTCCACCATGTTTGACTTTTCCTCTTCATTTTTCTGTCAGATGAGTTTTTGTTCCTCAGCAGAAATACGGCGCTCTGCCTTCTGTCCTCGTGGCTCTGATTGGTCTGCTAGCTTGAACCAGTGATGCTAGGCTGGAGTCAGTCTGCTCCACAGTTTCCACCTTGATAAGGCAGAAGAGTTGCTGAGAAGTGTGTTGAGCATGCCCCAGTCACATAACCACAGCGAACGCGGTGTTGTTACGTCACACTGTGTGACTTTCCCAGTAAATTAGAATCATCTTGGCGTTTCAATACTATGGAAGGCTTTAAATGCAGCAGAATCGCTGCTCAAACCGCAGGTTTTTTCCGTTTTTGTCACAGCTGGGTTGAGGTTTTGAGGGACCAAATGCAGAGGTGAGGAGACAAAGGTGAGTCTGTGTAGATTTAATGAGATAACCGAGGCAAAAACCAGACTACTTCAGGGGAAAACTGACATGGGGAGCCAGGAAAAGACGAGGAACCAGCACAGAGGAATGACACAGGGAGAGTATATATAGGAGACTGAACGAAGACTGGAGCAGGTGTGAACAGAGGTTTCTAGAAGGAGCTAGGGAAAAGGAGACCAACACTAGAGGGCAACAAAGATAAACCAAAGAACTCAAATACATCCAGAAAACACCACAAAATAGGAATTAAACCAATAAAACCAGAAAACAAAGAGACACATGGATCAAAGTGAAACTGAAAACTTAAACAGAACCAAAACTGTGACAGTTTTTAGTTTTTTTTTAAAAAAACAGGGAAAGAAATGTTTTATTTCGCTCTAGTTTAGAATTGATTCAGAATAGTTCACTACATAGATCTAAAATAGACAGATGAACACACATCTCTACCCACCACAGTCATCTAATGATTAATTTATAACACATTTATTTTACAATGTTAATTAATGACAGCAGCAGGTTATTTAACTGACTAAGGTAGAAACTGAGCAAAATCAGCGTGAATGAAATAGGAGCGCCCCCTGCTGGCTCTTCAGCAGGAAGAGTCTGCTCTGACCTTTCTGATCCAGAGCCTCAGTGTTGGGAGTCCAGTCCAGTTTGTTCCATCCATCCATTATCTTACACGCTTGTCCTAATCGGGGGAGCGAGGGTTGCTGGTGCCTATCTCCAGCTGTCTATGGGTGAGAGGCGGGGTCCACCCTGGACAGGTCGCCAATCCGTCGCAGGTCCAGTTTGTTCTTCAGGTGAACACAGAGGTACTTAGAAGAGTCCACCATCTCAATGTTCGTTCCCTGGATATTCACCGCTGTCAGTGGGATGGATCTGCAGGTTGATCACATCGACAGGCGCTGAGCTTCATCACGCAGCTCAGCAGAATCATCACTGGAAATCACGCGGCACGGTAGGGAAGCTAGGATTGTTATGAATGTCTGAAATGTCCTGATTACGGACGCCGACTGTGAGGAGATGACGCCGTCTGCTCATGTTCTCTTTGTTATCTGAGAACCGAGCCAGAACTGAACGATGCTGAGCCCTACTGATGAACCAGTACCAGTTTAGTCCGGTTGGATCTGGTTTGGTCCGGTTGAGTACTGCGTTCCATTTGCACTCAACAGTTATCTGGGTAACCGTCCTCGGACCGATCTCTGCACGGTGTCTAAAAGGTTGTGGAACTGGGCCAACATCTCCAGCTCGGGTAAACCAGGGAGAGGAGGAGCTGATGGGAACCATGACCTGGTTGGAGTATCTGCAGCGCCGTGATGTTCAGAGGGATTACACTGGGCATTCTCAGATTACAGGATTATTTCCATCAATCTCTGTTCATTAACCTCCAACTGCAGCATCTAAAGGGACGTTTGGTTCTGAGGAGAAGTTCTATGTGGACATCATCATTGATCAGCTATCAGAGTGAAGAACCGCTGAAGAACGGATCACATCTTCTCCTGGTTTCAGTGAGAATAATCAACAAATAATCCCCCATAGATTATCCTTTCAGTCTGAAGAACATCTGCTTTCTGTCCAGAACCTCAGAGGAGGTCTGTCTTCCTTCACTGTAGAT